CCTCTTCCCCGTTTTTTTCCACCCCTCCTTCGCTCTTCTAATTTCTTCCCTTGCATATAACGTTCAATTCCTCTCGTCGATGTATTCGATGTAACCATTTATCCACGTTAAAACCACGTTAAAACCACGTTACGCTCGTCCACCGTTGTTCTACGCTCTACGCTGCCGTTTTCGATCGTAAGGTGTCGCTTTTGAATCGACTCGACTTCTCGACTCGACCCGGCGTAAATCGATATCTCGACTGATCGGCACAGTCGCTGATTACTGACCACATTTCTGCAACTTTTTTGTTTACTTTACAGGTGCATACCTAACTAAATTACGTATACATGATGGTGATGATGATGAAATATATGCATTTAACAATTTGTGCATTTACGTCATGTCGCCAAACATGTATAGCATTTACATAACGTACGTGTAAGTAGATTGCGAGAAATGCACGTTTGTTGGTGCAAAAAATTCTACAAAATTAACAAATTCAAGTACACGTACGTACATACGGAGGAGGATGAGAACAAATTTACGAGTACAGATGGAAATAAATAAATATAAATAAATATAAATTTTTCTCGTTTGGGCAGCAGTCGTCCTTCCTTTGATTCCTTTGATACGTGTATCGCGTATATACATGCATGTGTTGCGTGTAACGTCTCGCCAATGAAACATCACAAAAGACGCAAGATATAAAGGAATCGCAATTAAAGTTACGAATCACGTACTGTGTTTTACAAGTACTGTAATTTTTGACTTAATTGATCGATAAAAAGAATCATTTGGTGTCGTGCGATGGAGACAAACTTGTCAAACTTGCGTACGCAGTTCTACACAGTTTCAAGCCTCTTGTTGCCTCTTTTATTTACCGTACGCGTCTTGCGATGTCACTGCAACTGGTACGATTACATTACATACATACGTACATACACGTTATTACGTATGCATATGCCGCTGATTCTCGAGACATTTGACGGGAGGGAAATTATTGCCAAGTAATTGCAACCTTTTCGTTCGTTGATTCGATTACACGCGCGCATTAGGTCGACATACGTATACGTATGCGTGATACATATAAATAGTAGGCATAGCTATTGAGAAAGTTGCACGAGGAAAGGAAAAAGTAGCTGGATATTGGCATAAGTCGTTAATTGCGCAACGAGATTGCCTGCCAATTGCTTTGACGTGGCTCAACCTCGCCGTATCGAGGTTACTATTTCTAGGATGAAACGAGAAAGGGTAAGATGAGGTAGCTAGTTGAAAACGAGTCGACGTCATCATCACACAGTGCCTAGTGGCACTAGCAGCCAAATTCCGCGCATTTCAACGATATTATATCTATTTTATATATATATATATATATATATATGTTTTTGCTTGCTCAGACATGGTACATGTCTCTCAACAATTTTTCGCCTTGGACGTTGTTTCTCTGGGTCCAACCCTGGTCCACGAAATCCCAATTCCAGCTCTCTTCCGTTCCGTTCCACTTTTCGAATTGTTCGCTCGTTGGAATATTCTCATAGCTCCGTGATACTTTTACTTTTACTCGCAAGACACTTTGCGCAAATGCACATTGCATCATGTGTGTATTTATCGTTCAAACAAGTTGAAACAAGTTGCATTCTTTCTGCCATAATGCGCGTAATATGGAAATGTGGTGTATGGAGACACGGCACAGGTATATTTCAAAGAATCTATTGAATTTTATCCAGCATCACAAGTATACAAAATACGTGTGTATTTGTGTGTATGTGT